CACTTCACTGCATTAATAGAAGCAGTTGGTCTCTGAAATGCAAAAGTAGAAACAAAGATCAGCTGAGAAATACAAATGGAGCCGAGTCAATTATTTAACGTAGTTTGTATGGGGAGGAAGGCATGGTGGAAGATACATACGTAAAATATTTTCTTAGTTTAAAAAAAAACAAAAACAGGATTTCTTTCTCCAGAAGATTTCTCCAGCGTTCTTTTCTAAGTCTCCAGTCAGCTTCTGGAGTTCTGCTCTCCTGAACAAAAACCCTTGCACTGTCACTCTGAGAAAGCTTTTCCTAGTACTTCAAACAAAATCCTTTTTGAATATTTGACCAATTTTTGGAGCACAAGTATCAGAAACACAACCCAGGAACAATACTGCAGATAGCTGATAAGAGGCTGAGGAGATGAATCTTAAAATAGAGCCTCTTAAAATAAAGATTTAAAGAGCAACGGAAATAAGATGCACTTTAAGTAGTAATAATCCTCTACCACTTGCAGTAGAGTATGGCAGTACCTGCTTTCCTGTGTAAGATTGTCTTATATTCTGTAAACAAATTTCTGGTCCATTACTAAGGAGATCAGTTTAGCTCTCTTGCTGCTTTCTTCAGCAAAACAACCCTAAGCCTCCTTCCAGCGCAACATGCTTTTGGTGTATAATACAGATCACGTAAATACAATCTCCTCCCTCTGGCAGGGACCAAAAAAAGTTGAAAAGAGAAAAAGGGATGTCGCCATCTTTAGAGTGTGGAACAGAATGAAGTGGTAAGAGACATGGAGAAGCCCCTCAGCTAGCAAAGCAGAAGGCCTTTCCTTACAGCTCTAGTTGTGTAATGGGACTACGACACACACTGTGCCTGTGACACTGATAAGGAAAAAAGGTTTCATGAAGTTTGTTGGAAGGAAGGAGTGTTAAAGGTAATAATACACAAGTTCTAATCAGATGTGGAGGAAACATCAACTTTCCCATTTTACAACTTACCATTACAACAGAAATAACACTTCAGACAAACTTGAATGTAAGCGCGTTTCCCCGTGGTACCAGACTAGCCTTGAGAGTTAAATACAAGCGTATTTTCCACAGATCTTGCAGTCAGAGTTGAATCTCTTAGTCATTTCTCAGCTTTTGATTTAAGGTACATGTCTTGGATGCTGATTTAAAAATGAGAAGTTGTGTGTGAACCAGGTAGCATTTGTTCTGGCTGTGCGCTCCCCTGGGGCCCTTTTTTTCCCCATCCGCGTCAGCTTCTGTACAGAGGTGTTGTGCTGCCCACTATTTCCAACAATATAGTATTTGTGCTGTACAGTTATTAGGAAAGACACAAATGCAAGCGCAGTACCTATCAGTAAAAGAACTCTGAAACAGATTCTCAGAACTAAAAAAAAAAAAAAAAAGATGATAGGATAAATCCTCTTACACCACAGTGCAGGCGTATGAACAAAGAGAACAGCCAACTGGAAAAAGAGTCGTAACTAACATTGTTTTGCCAATATTTTGGAAGTATTCAATCTTTATTTGTTACCATTGTAAACATCTCCTTCCAGTACACAGACATCACAGTTTACATTATTGCTTTTATACTGTGGTAAACAGACATTTCTATTAGTATGCAGCTGTCTCAGCACAGTGTGATAAGAAGAAACTGCCCACAAGCCGTCTTTACTTGTTTGCTTGCTGGCTTGTTTGTTTCCCCCTAGTGAAAGACAATGCTATAGACTGGCACAAGAAACATCTCTCTAAAGATTGACTACCACTGTGCTACAGCAACACAAACAGGTATGATAGAAAAACCATGCATTCACGAGCAGTATTTTCAAGAATACCAACTGCTGAACTTCCATCTAACTAAATACAAACTTTTATCACAATAATTCATAAAACAAGGCTAACATAGTTTTTTGTAAAGTGTTTGTTATTTAAATTAGGATGGAAAAATCAAAAAAATTAATGTTTGCTTTTTCATGGTGCACATCTATAACTCTTTATCTGAGATGCTTAAATTGGCCCCTTCTCCTGTTGTGCTTTAGGACAAAATGCCCAGTTCTCCACACAAGATCACAGAAGCATAGCCAGTTTGTTTTAAAAACATGTTCTTAGTTTCCTAGTTTCTGGTTATGGTAAACTTTTTATCTTCAGATTAATTTATTTATGGAGTAGCACCATGTGTCAAGTATGTGCTAAGCAAACAAAGTAGTTGGTTCCAGTAGCAACTGTTTAACAACAACAAAAAAAAAATTTACAGAACAACCTTGTTGTCTTCAGCTTGTTGTTTATTTTTAGATTGTTTTCTAAAATATTACTATTATGTATAAACTTTCACAATAGTGAATATTTTAAAGAGGCAGCAAGTTAGAAAACTAACAGTTTTTGCAAGTTCTAATAAAACAGTACATACTTCAAGACATGACACGATTAATAACAGCACGAGAATTCGCCAAGACTTTAACCTTTAAGACTACTTAGAATAAATTATAAGCAACAAGTTCTGATGTTAAGCAAGTTGATTATATCAACTTGCAGAAAGGTGGCCTAATACCATTTTAACTCTTCCATTACTTTAGGTTCACTCCATAATGTAAGTGTTAAGAGTTAGTATAAAATCCCATTGACTGGTTAAAAAAAAAAAAAATCATCTTTTCTCTAGACACTGTTTTACTTTTTTTCCATATAGTCTACTTACCACAATAATGCAATAAGCCTACTAGTGGTGCAAACAGGGAAACCCAGTACTATTCTACATACGGTGACTCTTAGAGAGGACTGGGGTACTGGCTCATACAAAACTACATGCAAATTCTGATTGTTTACTGGGAAAATGTATTGGAACCTAACGTAGAATATTCATTTTAAACAATTACTACACCCAGACGAACGCATTCATTTAACCATATGTGAATCATTTAAGGATGGTTGAGGTTTCTTCCTTAATTTGTATATTGTCACAGTATAGTCCCAGCTAACTTTTTTTTTGATTAAAAAAAAAAAAGAAAACTTCTGAAGATGCATCTTACACAGGGCTCAATCTACATTCTACACTAAAATGTCTTAGGCTGTATCACATGAAATCTGAAGATTAAAGAGCTTCAAAGGAGTTAAGTAGCAATCTCCTAGTGAACAAGGAGCAATGTGAAAGTTTTGAGGCTGGGAAGGTTAGCATGCAGATTGCCAAAGATGGCTCAAGCAATTTTGCTACCTTGGGAACGGGGAAAAAGTCAATGTTTCCACTTCCTTTGTTGGTCTGGTTTTAGGAACTTCCAGGTTCCCAAGGGAACAGAGACAGTGCTCTGTAGTAAGATAAGAAAGCCAGAATGTGCCATAGGATCTCAGGTTTTTCCACTAGTGGGAATTACAGGGTTCCAAGTACCTGGGAGCAGCAAAAGAACTAGGCTTCTTGTGGAGAATTTTCTGTCTATCGTATCTAGTTGGTTAGCTATCTGGCTTACAAGCCACAGCATAGCCATTATAAGCTTTAAAAAAAAAAAATTTTTTTTAACCAACTTCTTAAACTTGGTCATCTTAGGAGGCACCTGAAACATTTAAAATGCCTAGTTGTTTTTACTATCATATGCATCTTCAAAAACAAATTATTAAGTTAAGAGATTTTTCACTCCTCCAATATAACACTTTGTACCTCTCTATGCAATCTGCATTATGGTGAGAGCCATTACATAACTTCTTGTTAATGTTTTTTTACTTATACCTTTATAATCCTGTTGCTATACTTTGATCACTCTCTCTCTGTAGTAACTTTAATCACAGTAACTAAATTTAATACTGATCAGAGCCATGTTATAGGAGTATTCCTAACTGAACGTGATTGTCTTTCCAGTTCCTATCCCTAATACATGTACACACTCACATAGTAGGAGAAACTTACTATATTAAACCTGTTTGCTACATCAAACTACTCTTAGTATTTGTACTGAAA